CCGAGGGGCGCGACGCCCGCCGACCCCGGGCGCTGGTCCGAGTGCAGCCGGCGCGGTCTCAGAACTTTCTGCCGTTGCCGTGTCTTCCCGAAGACCCGCGGCGTCGGTGCCTCGCGCGAACACGCGCGTTTCGGGCTGCCCAGAAAGGGTCGCGCCTGCCCTTGCATCCGGCGCGCCGCAGTGATGTCCCCGGATTCCGAGCGCCAGACCCCGCTTTGGAAGCTGGTTAAGAATCCTGAGTGGCTTGCCGACTTCTGCATGGTTAGCTTAGAACAGGCGTAAAACAGGCACTTCGCTAAAGATGCTCCCTGTGAAGCCCCTGGGTTCTCGGCAGATCGAGCGGACTGTTTCTTTTAGCGACGCGTTGTTTTCCGAGAGGCGGTTTTCTCAGTTCCGTCACGCGAACCCTCGGTATTCACGTGTATCTCAGCAGTGCGCCAAGCCCAGTCGTGCAGATCAAAAATCGTTGTTTTAGGCAACTGTTCTCGTCCTGACTTGCTGACAGTCAGGACAGGCCAGGCCTTCACACATGTCCCCAGACCGACTTCTTTCCATTTTAAGTAGCAAGTTGCTAGATTTTCACCGCGCTTTGCCATTTGCCTTTTTTGCCCTACCGTTTCCCTGGGCACACAGGCAGCTGTTTTTGTCCTCAGAAGGGGAAGTGAGCCGAGAGACAAAGCACCAGGATTTTGCAGCGAGCGGTCACCTCAGCAAATGCAATGTTTGTGGGCTCTGCACAGTCCGCTGATTGCTTCCAGTGGAGTCTCAACTCGGGATGGGCAGGGCAGCCAAGTCACAGTGGATGGGTCTGTTCCGCCCCACTGGACTTAACTAATTATCCTGTTACAGCGTTAGCTTGCTCCTTGAAGAGTTTGGTTCTAGCTTGACTGTCCTAATAGTTTCTAAGACGGATGTTTTGCCGTTCCAGCTGGAAAGGGTCAGGGTTACTTGCCAGGGCTAGATTTGATCTGACTAAAGTGGAGGATACGGGGGCTCCAGGCTCTGGCGGCTGCCCCACTATGTCTGAGGATACCAGGCAACTAGGTCCCATAAGTGAATCCTCGCTGACATGTTTTTAAATTTTTTTTTTAAATTATTTATTTTTATTTTAGGTTCAGGGAGTACACATGCATGTTTGTTCCATGGGCATACTGTGCAGTGGTGGAGGTTGGGTCTCAGGTGGCCCGTTCCCCTGAAAGTGGACATTAAGCCCCCTAGGTAATTTCTGAGCCCTAACCCTCTTCCCCCTGCCCCAATTGAGCTATTGGGGTGCCCAGTGTCTAAATCCCCGTCTTTGTGACTGTTTAGCTTCCACACATGAGTGAGAACATGCAGTTCGCTTAGAATGGTGATCTCCACCCAGCTCCATCCATTCTGCTGCAAAGAGCGTGATTTCGTTCTTTTTTATGGCTGCCTAGTATTCCATGGTGAATATATAACACATTGTCTTTATCCAATTGTTGGTGCCATGATTTTGCTATTGTGAACAGGCATCACTGATATTTCTAAGTTTGATGTGAGTAGGGTAGTGACGTCCCCAAAATACCTCAAGACTCCACATTTGAACTCTGCTTTTTTCGTAGGACCTATGCACCAGACATTTTCTAGGTAAATACTCAAATGATGTCAAAGATTGAAAAGCCAGAAACCTTAAAAAATGTTTATTTCCCTTAAGCCATTTCTGGGAATTTATGCTAAGAAATAATCAAATGTGGACTTTATTTATAAACATTTTTATTGCTTCATCATATATAATGGTGAAAAAAATGAAAATCTGTCTCCAACAATAAGAAATTGATTAGGCAATTTATGATATATCCATATGATGAAATACTGTATGGTCATAAAAATCATGTCTTGACATTTATTTAAGATTAGGAAAGAATGTTCACTAATGAAAAAAAACGATAGAAAAAATGGAACACCATATTAGAGTAGGATCTCTAAGGTACATATATAGGTATACACACACACACAAATACATGGCTATGTGTATATTTTAAAATTTATGCAGCCAGGTGCGGTGACTCATGCCTGTAATCCCAGCACTTTGGAATGTAGAGGCGAGAGGACTGCCTGAGCCCAGGGGTTCGAGACCATTCTGGGCAACATAGCAAGACCTCGTCTCTACAAAGAATTAAAAAAACGAGCCGGGGGTGGTGGGTTGTGCCTGCAGTCCCAGCTACTCAGGAGGCTGAGGCAGAAGGACCCCCTGAGCCTAGGAGGCCAAGGCTGAGGCATGACGGTGCCACCGCACTCCAGTCTTGGCAACAGAGTAAGGCCCAAACTCAAAAAAATTGTTTTATTACTTTTTCTTTGCATACATTTTTATTTTTATTTGTTGAGACAGGGTTTCTCACTCTGTCACCTAGTCTGGAGTACAGTGGCACGATCACGGCTCACAGCATCACAGCAGCCTGGGCTCAGAGGATCCTTCCGCTTCACCCTCCTGATTTAGCTGGAACTACAGGCGCTTGCCAAAACGCCCAGCTAAATTTTTTATTTTTTGTAGAGACAAGGTCTTGCTATGTAGCCAGGCTAACCTCAAACTCCTAGATTCAAGCAATTTTCTTGCTTTGGACTTCCAAAGTGCTGGAATTACTGGTGTGAGCCACCGCGCCTGGTCAAAAAAATTCTAAATATATATCAAAATGTATTATTTTTTGTTGGGTAGTGGGCACTGGTGACTTTTATTTTCTTCTTCATATTTTTCTCTATTTCCCAAGATTTTGACAATGAACATATTAAGTTAATAAATATTTTCTTTTTCAATTAGTGTGAGAAATTAGGATCTCACTTGGCTGATCACAATTCAGAGTCTGTCTTTCCATTTTTCTATTCAAAAGCTCCATTTTTCAGTTAATCCAGAGTATAATCTTAGAAAAGAAATCTAGGTCAGTACGCTGGTGAAGTAAATGCTCAGAACATTCTGTTCTAGTGGATAATTTCTCTTGGAAGAATAAATGAGAATACTAGAAATTTTTTAGTGAACTAGAACAAAACCAGAATGATTAAGCCTCAGGACTTGGGGACTGAAGCACGGATCTGTCTGTTCTAGACCCCTCTCACACACCATCCCTAGGTATGACTGTCGCAGATTGATTTAAGATGAGCGTTGGATTGTAGATTGTCTCAAAGTCCTAGCAAGTCACCAGATGGACCATTCTAAAAAAGTACAGGTATTCAGCCGTGAGAAAGAATCTGGGATCCGGGACGTGACTACTTTAGAGCTATAACATTATGAATAACGACATGCATGTATACTGCTTTACAGCTTAGAAAACACTTTGAGCCGGGTGCGGTGGCTCACACCTGTAATCGCAGCACTTTGGGATGTGGAGGCGAGAGGACTGCCTGAGTTCAGGGGCTTGAGACCATCCTGAGCAACACGGCAAGGCCTTGTCTCAAAAAAAAAAAAAAAGAAAGAAAGAAAAAAAATGGAAAATACCTTGGCAAGTCGCAACATGTGAGATAAGTGGAGCCTCAGTCTTACCTTGCTTTGTAGGCCAGAGGTCCTCAAACCAGATTCACCTGGAAGGCTGTGTCTTTAGGCCTGGGCTGGGTCCTGAAAAATCTGCATTTCTAACTTGTTCCCTGCATATGGGTACAGGAACAGCCCCAGGCCATTTTTGTGGTCTTTGTGAAGCTGGCTGGATCTTCTCAGTCTCAAGTCCAGGGTCAAGATGCCAGCAGGGTTGGTTTCTTCCAAGGCCCTGATTTGTAAGCAGCCACCTTGCAGTCCTCATGTGGCCCTTCCTCTGCGCGCACACGCCTTGGTGTCTGTGTCCAGACTTCCTCTTGGAATGATGACATCCTGATGCCTTCAGGCTGACTTCATGACTTCTTTAAGGCCCTGTCTCCAGATAGGTAGTCACATTCCGAGTACTGAGGGTTAGGGCTTCAGGCATAATTTGGGGGAGACACAACTTAGCCTGTAACAGAAGCCATCTTCTTTCTCCCCCCAGCAGCCTCTGCACACACTGCAAGTACCTGTCTGAGCACTGGATCATAGCTAGGACCAGCGTGTGACCTCACTTGCACAAAACCATACTTTTGTGAGGCAGACCCAGCAGGTTCATCACGTTCTGTGGGCTGATAAAACCTGGGGCAGAGAGAGTACTATGACCTTCTTTTTCTCATGCCCACATTCCTAACTAAAAGGCTTGAGGAGTCCCGGCCTGACAAGGACCCACCGGACAGGGCTTTATTATCCTGTTACCCTATATCCTAAAGCTCGCTGTCCAGCCTGACTCTGGCATCACATCACATGACAAGTGAAGAAGGCTTATGGCCCTGCAGACCATCTCTTGTGGACTCCCAGACTCCAGGAGCCTTGCAAGGCAGTTCTCCATCTTCCCAGAAGTCTGCCACAAACAGGGCGTCATCAACAAACCTGGAGGTTTCCACCCCCTTATCTTTTCTTTCTTTCTTCCTTCCTTCCTTCCTCCTTTCCTTCCTTTCTTTTCTTTCTTTCTTTCTCAGTCTCACTCTGTTGCCCAGGCTGGAGTGCAGTAGCACGCTCAAGCCTCGACCTGCTGGGCTCAGGTGATCGTTCCCCCTCAGCCTTCCAAATAGCTGGAACAGTGGCACATGGCTGGCTGAACTTTTGCTTTATTGTAGAGATGAGGTCTTGCTACGTTGTTCAGGCTGGTCTCGAACCCCTGGGCTCAGGTAATCCTCTGGTCTCCGCATCCTGAAGTGCTGGGATTACAGGCTTCAGCCACCGCACCAGGCTTCACCCACTTATCATAACAAAGCATCTCCTCTACTGATTTCCCCAATCCTAAAATAGGAACTGCAAATTATCAGTCAGGAAATCTTTGAACTCCCCTATGACCTGCAAACCCCCACTTGAAAATGTCCCTCCCTCCTGGGCCAAACCACTGAAAATATCATTTGTAGGCTGGGCGCGGTGCCTCAGCCTGTAAACCCAGCACTTTGGGAAGCCAAGGCAAGAGGATTGCCTGTGTCCAGGGGTTCGAGACCAGCCTGGCAACTTGGTGAGACCTCGTCTCCACAATAAATCACAAAAACTAGCCGGGTGTGGTGGTGTGTGTCTGTAGTTTACAGTTTCTTGGAAGATTGAGACGGAAGGATCACCTGAGCCCAGCAGGTCAATGCTGCGGTGGCCGTGAGCATGCCACTGCACTCCAGCCTGGGTGACAAGAGATTTGAACTCAAAATAAATGAATAAATAAATATAAGAAAATACTGCATGTATTGATGTATGGTTTCTTGTAACTCCTGCCTTCCTAAAATG